TATTAAATTTCTCCTCTACTAACTTCCCAAATTTTTACCTAAAACAGTGGCTGCACCCGATTCCAAAGTTTCCTGGCTTTTTATTTATTTGTATTCAATATTTATTATGTTGTTTTTTAAGTAATTGAAGTAACTTTTTCTATAGGTTACATTTAGAAATTATGCCAATAATTTACTTTCTTTTTTTTAAGGAATACTTTTTTACACAACTCTGTTTAAAATTTCAAAAAAGATATTATATTTAAGTGGGACCATGGGCATTAAGTGGGTCATTTTAAATGTTTGACCGGGCCATTTTTCTTTGAAATTTTTTGAAAAATCGAAAAAAATCATAAATCAATAATCTTTAATTTTTGAGAAAGGAATTGTATTAATGAAATAAATAGTAGGACTATTAGATTTGGGTGTTAGAAACAGGCATATGTTTTTGTTTAAGGGTGTTGGAAGCGGTTTCCCAAAATTTCTCTAATTTTGTAAAATTTGAAAATTCTTTGTTACCTTTAAATTATAAGATTTTTCCACCAATCTTACTGTCTGATTCATATTTAAATTGGAATCGCTATGACCATTTTTACAGACGAACGTGACTTTAGACCAAAAAGTGATAGAAAATCGCTAAAATTCGACTTCTTTAGTTTGATTTCAATTTTTAAAGTATTTATATGGATTTGTTGAAAATTTCAATTTATTTAGATTACTTATGAAAGTCGATTTTTCGATTTATAATTTTGCGCTTTCAAAATGAATACAAATATAATGTGGTTATTTCACGTAATTTTCAAAAATGATTTCTTAATTTTGGAGTCCTTCAAAACTGAAAATTGAATATCAGTTTGCCTAAATAACCTAGACAAATTTGTCTTCAAAATTATAAATTCTTTACAAATTAAAATTGGGTATTGGGAAATATGTCTAATAAATATTTCCCCAACGAAACGTTTATTGGGCTAAAACGCTAAAAGAAAATTTAAGTTTTATTTGTGTACGCGGCGGTTAACATTTTGATAATTGCTTAAAATTTTGTTACCCAAGATCTTCCTAAAGAAACACACAATTCAACTCTAAATCCAGCATTCGGTTGAAATATTTCTTGTTATCATTTCGGGAAACACTGTACTATAAATATACTAGAAATATTATATTGCATTTTGATGAAAATTCTAGGTAAAAAATATAATTACTGTATTTGACGTTGCAAATTCATTCATCAATATACTGCGATAATAATAAGTTATAGGTACTCCACGGCGTGCATCCCGTGTGATTTTTTTAATCAAAATATTTGACGTACCGCACGGAACATATAAATATAGTGTAAGTACCGCGGTGGTTATAATTTAAATATTGTGTTCCGAACCGCAGTAATATTAATATTCATATAGGGTTCACCATCGATACAACGGCGGAAATTTCTAATTATAATATTGTGAATAAATATAAATATTATTATTACCTATACACTGAATTCTCAAACACATCACGAGATGCAATTTGGCTGCCAAGAGCTGCCCATAAGTCAGTATAATAATAAATATATTCGTAATTTCATATTCGTATACGAGTAATATTTTATTCCTTCCTCGTCATAATAATTCTTAGCATTATGATTTTGCTCGTTGTTTGAATCGACGTTGTACTACGACGTACTTGTATAAATGTAGGCACCGGCGTACCGCGGAACAATTGTATTCATCAGCAATTATTATACGGTGGAGTCTGTTTAATTGAAATATTTTCTGATATGACCTTGCCATTTGGGCCACGGGATCCACGTTTTTATCGGGCCCTCCGTTAAATGACGGTTTGTTAAGGAGTGCCTTCTCAAATATATTTTGTTTGCGATTATTTCATACAGATTAAATTTAGCGTGTGGCGGCGTAACAATATCAGTTTTACCAAGATGTGTAGTTTCTTTAGGAAAACATTTATTCAGTTAGTCAAATGCTCCGATATTTTTCACACAGTATACCTGTAAAAGCAGAGACGGAGTTTAAGTCCATCTGGAAATGAGAATTTCCAGATGACCTTTGACAATTTTACTGCCTGGTTAATAGTTTTCAAATAATTGTAATAACAATTTGTTAATTTATTTGTTATCCAAATCATTTTTCAATACATATAATAATTGACTATCATCTGTCTCTTTAACAAACTTAATAAATCAAAAGATTAAATAATTTATTATGATCATTACGCAATATTTTATACTAAAATCTAATTTTATTTCATTTAGTTTGTAAGCTCTACAAAAATAATATCTATAAATGTTGAAACCGAGCGTATGGTTTGATTGGTATTTTATTGAGGTCGGGAATGTCGGGTGGCTTGATAAATTATAATCTCCTTGTCTGAATTTGTTTGCCACTCCGCATATGTGTAAATTATCCGGAATTTCTACCAGGTGAACATATTTTTCGCCTAAATTACTATTAGTATTCGTCTATAAAAATATAATTAACGATACCTACATGGGTTTTATTTTCGTTGATTTCCGGGTTACCCTATATGCTACAAGGTCATTATATCACGATCTAGCCAGTTTACTGAGTTTCGCCTAGAGTCGGTTTTTCATTGCAATGACTTATCCACATCCAACAGTGATCTACTAAAATTTGAAAATTTGATCTACTTACGCGTAGTACGAAGAACGTAGCAACGCTAGAGTCCAAATGTAAAGCTTGTGCAAATCAGTCTGTTTAAACGCCGAGGAACTTGACGATAGTAAAACGCATGTATATTTATCGTGAATAAATTGTTCGCAGTTTAATTCGTGTTATTTTAATACTATACGAGTATTATGCTGCGGATTCAGATTATATAACTTCGGGCTTTAAAACATAAATACGCTTTTCGGTGTAATAATAAAGGAGCGCGATTATAATATTTTTAATGCGCGAGTATTAATTCGACGGCTACGGCTATAGTGTTCGGCGCGGGATTTTCCGACGTCTTTGACGGCGTTTCGGGCGATGGTGGCGAGACGTAGGGTGGCGAAGATATTACTTAGCAGATTCGAAAAATTCCGACGACCGCAACAGTGAAAGTAAAAAATTCCATTGTGTATAGTGTGTGTTTTTATTTTTATTTTTTTGTCCCGCCGGTATACTTTAGTGAATATATATATATACGCTATACTATGTATTTCGAAGCGTGTTTTCCAGATGCGGCGCGCAAACGGTTTCGAAAAATGCGAACGTTCCACCAAGCGTAAAAGCCGCACATCGGGGATGCTGTATAAATATATATAAAATACGCGGTGTGTGTGTGTATAGAGAGAGGGTGAAAAATATCCGTGCCAAGAGACACTTTTGTCGGCGTTTTTACTTATACACACAAGCGAACCGAAATCTTTTACACTGCTGCATCGCATAATAGTAATAAAAAAGAAAGCAAAAAAAAAAAAAATAATAACAATATTTCTAGTCCGTAATCTTTCATTGTGTCGAGGCTTACACGCGGCAACGGCGGCGGTGTTGATGGCGGCGGTTTCTTTTACAAGCTCACGGAGGCGCGCGAACACATTGACAGGTGGTTAATCCCGAATCGTTCTAATGAAAACCGACTATCATATAATGTCTATAAGTTTAATCACTATAGGCATATACAATATAAAAAGAAATTTTTGAGTTTTTTTTTTTTTTTTTTTTTACATTAAAAAGAAATTTTCGGGTTTTCGACCATCGTGTGACACTGTCGCTTGACGTTTTACTTTTAAATTATATTTTATAAAAAATAACAATCAATAGCGGAAACCTTACAGTTATTAAATTTGTATATCTATTGTATAATATTTGTATAATATATATAGTTATTTGTAGGTAGCGTGTATAATTTACTTATTAATTATTATCATCCACTGGTGGATCTATTTTTTTAATTTTTTTTTTTTTTTGGGGGGGGCAAAGTTTTCATAATAGTATTAAGCATAAATGATAATACACAAAAAAAAAAAATAAAACACTTACTTTTTTATATAGTACTTAAATATAATATTTAAAAATTTGAGTATAATTTAATGAAATTTAGTATTATTATAGTAAAAAATAAAATTAAAAATATTTATATAGGTACCAACAAAAAGACGTACATACAACGCACAATGGTTAGGCCACTTTTGTAGGTGAGAAGTTGGGAAGGTAGGATATAGAAGATAGTTTAATGTATATCTGTACGTAACGATTGATCATTGTTAACGAAAAATGATTTTGAGTGGCGTTTGGTTATACATGTTTTGAAAGGCCGTATAACTCGAATATACAATTTTAATCAAAATTTGATTGCTTCGCTCAAAATCTAAAACTTGTAATAGTAAGAGTATTATAATAATTGTTAACGTGTGTTTAGTGAACAGATTTATAACACCATCTGGTTTTAAATTAATTTTAATATGGATATTTAATAATGCTAGTCCATTTAAACTAATGATTCCTAGCATAGGCGATAACGCTTTTTTAATTTTTATATGGAGCTTTTTACATAAGTGGTTTGGGGGGAGGGAGATTCTGCTGTGATTTTCATCAATAAAAATATTTTAATATTATCAAAAACAATTATATTATTATTATTAAATGAAGTGTATGTATAACTGCGTATGTTATTAAGTGTATGTATAACAATAAAAAATTATTAAACTCTTTAATAATTATTTATATACACAACAATAACAGTGAAATGGTAACAAACCAGCTTCTATAATCTATGTCTTATCGTATCGATGCCGATAAGTTTCATTTGGTCCCATTTTCATACGATTATTTCCGACTATCGTACAGGACTTGCATTTATTACATGAACTTATAATTTAGTCTGCGTGTACGTTAAAGTTTTACTTATTTGTAATTATAATAAAAGGTGTAGAAAATATTTTTTTCGCATAAATTAAATGTCTGATTTTAAAAACTAAAACAATATTTATTGGAATTACGTGAGTTTTTTGAAAATCTGAAAGGCACGTTGATTAAAAATAGGTTGAGAACACTGATTTAAACGATTTTCTTCTATCGGCATCTCAATACGGTTTAATCCTTATTAAAGTTTAAAAAGACCTTTCACTCGTGGACATTGTAAAAGGTGACATTGCTAGAATAAGTAAAAGTTGACGTCGGTATGTTTCTAATATATGAATTTCTGGTCTCTTTAAATATTTCCATAGCCGCACTGATTTTTTATTTATTTTTTTAGCCTAGACGTTAGGTTATTTTGGGGGCTAAATTTTAGCTCAATCTTAATGCGTCACCCAAACATGTATGTGATTAATCACAGAGAAAAATGGTGAATGAGTAAATTTTGGAAACTTTTTTTTATTATGTTGTAGCTTAAATAATTTGTTTTTGTTTATTTGTTGTTCTAAATGGTATACGTTTAAATATATTCTGGCATAATATGTTACACTGAAAACTAAACATTTTAAAGTTACTATGAAATACTCTTTGTTTGGCATATAATTATATGACTAAAGCCATTTAAAACGTTTGCATTTAGGTTATTTAGCAATTTAACCATTTAGCAATTATGTCATTGTGCCATAATATATGCCGTTTAGGGATTTTCAATATTGAATTTGCTTATATCAAAAACCGCACAAAATTGATTTATGCCCTTCTTCCCTGGGATTAAAGATTTAAAAAAAAAAAAAGTAGTTAAAAATAACTATAAAGTTCTACATAGTATATTACGTACCAACGTAGCTATAAATTTAATTTTTATGAGAGAATTTCGTATTATAGGTACTATACGTAATTTGTATATTATAGTGTACTAAAAATTTAAGGACGGAAAATGAATAAAATTATTAAATCAGTGGTGTACGGGCTTTGTATAAACAGTGTGTTATACATAATAGAAAAGCATATTATATAGTTTTGGCGCCACTGATTCAACGTGAAAATTATTCTGAATGATTTTGTCATATGATATTAAATATTAATAATATTATTGATACATCTAGAATATGATATTAAAAAAAAAAAAAAAATCCATTAATAGATTATACATCACTAGTGTCATCGTATATAATATTTGGTCGGATGTTGTATCTTGTATCGATATCGGATCAAATAAATACCCGGATGGAGTTGATTTATGTTCATTTGTTGTAAAAACAGATTGTGCGATTTCATTAATGTAACTATATGAAAAGAAAAAATACACAGTTACAGCGAAATATATATATAGAATTTAAAATATAATAAATCGATTTTCAGTGCAGTAAATTATTATAAAGGTTTTACAGCGGCGTTTTCTCAGAATTCGCCATATTATACTGATTTAAATTATTTAAATCATAAATACATTTTATACCCACATAAAAAAAAAAAAAAAAATGCATTTTACCGTTAGCATATTATATACTGCACCGTACTACACTAAATTATAATATTCCAGATAAGATTCATTTTTTTTTTCTTAATAGAATACCCGGAATAACAATATTTATAATTATTCAAATCAAGAGTTTCTTACGTTTTGAAAAATGTGCATGGATGAACACTAAGTTGATTATAAAACATAATTTAATAATAATTAATCCGTGTACTCGCAATTAAAATTCGACAATATTTTATCATCTGCAATACGATTATATTATTATGACTGTTACTATGACATCGTAAACGTAAACGGAATGTTAAAAATATTGTAATTTATATAATGTTCATAGTACTGGTTTATGGTGTACTTTAAAATAATAACATTACAGTGTGATATTTTTTATCATGAACCAGCGATTTTCTCGAAGGATTTTAAATAAATTTGATTTCTGTTTTTTTTTTTTTTTTAATCATTGTAAAATCGTTTTTTTAATTTTGTATCCCTATTTCTCCATATACATTAAATCAGTATATACTTTTGTTTGAATCCTCATTTTTTAACACAGGTTAAATAGAGAACTAAAGGTTAGGTTAGGTTAACTATCTCTGAAGTATCGTGTTCCAGGGTCGGTGTCAATTTTAATGCGAAAAAAAAAGTTACTTATGCATAATACTAATATTAGATTTACCGTTTATGATAGTTATAACTAGAGTCCAAATTTATATTATCTTATAATCCACAAAACGCGCTTAAAAACGTCAAAAAAGCACTTAAAAAATCGAAAAAGTAAAGTAAAAATTATTAATAATTTTAAGAGTCTCTCTTCTTATTGCTTTAACTTATTAAAATACATTTTCTAATAAAACATTAACAATGCCATGTTAAAAATTAGTTTGAAAGNCTCTCTTCTTATTGCTTTAACTTATTAAAATAAATTTTCTAACACTACATTAACAATGCCATGTTAAAAATTAGTTTGAAAGCACTAACAAAACTTTAATATTACCTTGAATAAAAAAATATACAGGTTGCATGCATGTGTTGTGTGTTGTGACGATTGACCGTATAATTATCGGGGATTTTCGGTAACCGTTGGAGTATATTCGGAACAATATACGCATGTGCGTCACATATTACTATAGTGGCTCAACCAGGATTCGTTTTCGGAGGGAGTATGAATTTGAAAAAAAAAATCAATTTCGGATGGTGGTTGGTGGAGTGGAGAGGGTAAGAATTTTTGGTAACAATTTAAAAAAAATAAAATAATAATTATAAATTATGAATCATTTTTGACATAGGAATTTATTCTGCTTACTTTTTAAAAACTCGTACTATTGCGTAAATGGTCGTTGATTGTTATGAGGTTGTTCGTGGATTGATTAAGGGTTTTCATTGGCGTAAAACCGACAGATTTGTTTATTTACGGCCCAATTCAATCTTAAACATTTCGATAAGTGATGGGAAATGTTCAAAAACGATCACATTATGCCATTCGCTCTGAAGGCGACCATCTAGGCGATATTATTTTTAAAAAGAAATTAGAACAAATTTCCAAAATAAACGAAAAATTGTTCAAAATTAATAATTTGTGTTTTTTTTTTATAAAATTATTGTCAAAAACNGCCATAATGTTAGGTTAGTTTAGCATATGTTAAATAAAACAAAAAAATGACCGTACACGGAGAGTAGTGAGTTAGTGGGTTAATTTTTCTCGAAGACCTTTTTTTTTTTTTTTATTATTTTTATTTTCATTTAACCTATGCTAACCTAATCCGACCTAACCTAACCGCACCGACCAAGAAGCGGGCAACGGCGAACCGTTCACTGAAAATCGCATAGCCAAAAAAGCACGCGTTATAATAATAACCCCTCCCCCACCCCACGGGTAAGACCGTTTCCGCGGAAACGCCACTGCCGTGGTCGGGGTCACCGGCTTTTACATTGTCGTCCCGCGCGCAATATTCCGCGGCTTTTCTGTGACACACACTGCAGCGGCGGAATATTCGCAGGAAACTCTGCCACCGCCGCCGCCGTCCGAGCACCGCAATCGTCCGTGACGAGCCGTGTACGCGGTAATTATTATTGTTGCAGCAGTTTTCGCCCGGATAATACGGGCCGGCAAATCGACCGTGACTCGACACGTTCGCGCGACGTTTTCCGCGAGCGTTTCTATTATTTTCATACGCCGCCGCTTTATTTTTTTTCCTACCCCCTCCCTACCACCCCCCCCCACTCCCCGTCCGCGCGTTTTACCGCCGCCACGCGGTCCGGTAATGACGTCGTTTGCACGCGCATTTTCGACGTGGTCGCGTGCCACCTTTTGCCGTAATAGCGCGCGCGCGCCCGTAGTTTCGCCGCAGACTTATCGACCATAAATTTCCGACAAAACCACACACGCGCTATTAATCTCTCTCGCTCTCTCTCTCTCTCTCACTCTCTACTACTCGCTCTCCTACTCGCTCTCCTACTCGCTCTCCTCGGACGCGCGTTTTTATATAATAATAATAATAATAATAATAACAACGACAACACGTTAGGCCGGCGGATGACGGGGGCGCGGGGACGCCTCGCGCCTCGTAAAACCATTGTAAACCGTTGTCGTCGCCGTTATCGCGACGGCGACGACTGCGCCGCAACAGTGTACGGCATTACGTGAGCGCCGTCGATGTAACACAGGCGCGCACGATACGCGAACGGGGCGCAACGTCGCGACGACCGCCCGGTCCCTCCGTTATAATGGTAACGTAATTTCGCGGACACACGAGTGTACGGGTTTCCGGCGGCGGACGGTGCGGTCGGCGACTTTCCGAGCGTAGGACCCGGGCCCAACGAACGGACGCGGCGCGACGTCTTGTATTTTTATCGCGCGCGGCGCACGCGCGCGCGTCGCGGTTTTGAGGGTTTTCGGGTAAAACGACCCTTGTAATGTGTACGTTTATACGCGCGGCGGCTATACGACAACGACGACAACGATATTACGCGCATAACACAACGGGCCGGAACGTCCGTTGCGTTTACAATGCAATACAATAAGGGTCCGAGGACGCGGGATAGCGCTATAAACGTTTTGTTTTTGTTTTTTTTTTTTTTTTCTGTTTGAATGCGCAAAATCTTCTATCGTTTTTATTACGGAGTAGCTGGTATACGAGTATATACGAGGGCTAATCAAAAAGTATCAAGACTGGTAGTATCGTTCGGAAAAGGAGCGTCGAAGAGCAGCAGGATTGGTGTCGCTTGCTTCTATGACTTTTTCCGAGTACATTTGTTTTTATTGCTTCTCTATAAAATCCTTCGGTTTGATTTCACTGATATTTTTGTAAAATATTTTTTTTCGAGTTTGGCGGTTTTGTAATAAACCCAAAAGAAGAGTAACTTGACAGATTCGGAGATTTTAGAAAATTTGTCTGGTATTTTTTTTCAGTTTCGGAGGGATGCGACATTTCATGGTTTTTGCCATTAAATATCAATTGAAAAACTGAAAATGTGCCCTCGAGTGGCAGCGAGTTCCGCTTCTTTTGGATCCATTACGAAATCGCCAAACGTGAATATCAAATTTTAGAAAAATATCGTCAAATCAAAACGAAGAGGTTTATAGAGATTTTATACGAATAGATGTGCTCAGTATGAGTCATAGACGCTAGGTTTACAAATCGTTTTGCTCTTCAACGCTCGGTTTCCGAGCAATATTATCAGTCTCGATACGTTTTGATTAGCCCTCGAATGTATATATATAGGAAACGCCGCGACACGGAGACTGGTTTTTAAACGCGATGAAGTTATTAGTATGAAAAAAAAAAAAAACCGATATTTTTAAAGGCTAATATATTCAAATGTATAACAAGTATGTAACGTATAGCGTGTAATCAAACGTTTTGGATTCTCAACGAAGCGTGGAAAGTACCGATATTGGTTTTATTACGCTGCGGTGTTTTTGAGATTCTGAGTTTAACGAAAATAATGTATTGGTTTTACAAAG